ATTGACTCTTACAAAACTAGCACAAACTTCAAGGTTGATATCTGACCAACCTAAAACACTAGTTTTACACTACTGAAAACTACTTAGTGTTTCCTGCTAAACACTACCACTACTACTATTACTATCAAATCCTAGCTTGATTACTATGAGAGTAATAACTTGCAAAACAACAACAACTGGCTAGATAATGGCTGCATTAAGCAAACCAGCAAATCTACAGTTTTTACTGTATTTAAGCTATATTGTTCTTGCGAACATACTGATTGTGACTATCTTACTAGTATCTGAATACTTTTACGTACCAATTATCTTGAATATGAAGCAAAGAACTTGAAACTGAATGATGCTGATTGTACTTCTACAAAAACTGAACTTGAAACTCAACAACTGTTGAAATTGTCATAAAGATTTGATTTTTAAAACAAAAGTTTAGCTCATGCTAAAACTAACGGTGGGTGAGCGAGCTTAAGAAAATGAAAACAAAACTTTATCTAAAGTTCAACTTGCCACAAGCATCAGATGTGCCAGTATAAGTATTATGCCATTCAGATCGTTAGGATCATCGCTGACTTGCCTCAGGTATGGGAGTTGATTTTTCCCTCTATTTTTACCAGTAGGGTCCATAAACATCTCCATTGACGAGTGCCTTACTTACTTTCTTAGGGGATTCTTTAGGCTTTCACCATGTGCTCATAAAAGCCTCCCATGTGCGGTGCTCGCTCTGAGATGCATTTCAATTCGATCGCTTTGTTAATTTAATTCTTCACAGATACTTTGCTTACATCGATTCTTTAAATTCCACACTACTTTTAGTTGTCAATTGGCAGATTTAAAGCTCTTGAAGTTGTCTGACCAAATTATGCTACTTGAACCATGTCTTGAAAATAAGCGTCTCAGCACCATTATTTCAGTGTCAATTAACAGCAGTGAACAGCAGTGATTGGCTACAGTAGTTCAGTCACGATGGAAATGTTTGAGCAGTCTCCAGCTCAAAGAATTCAATATAGACGTTGATTTAGGAATTGAGTATCGGTTTGCTACTTAATAGATTGGTATTTGTTTATGACAATCAATAGTTGTCAGAATTCATATATTTCAGTTTCTGAACTCATTTTGGACATTGCAAACTTAAAACTAGTGTTTTCATAATTCACAAACTGCTTAACAGVAAAAAGTTGATTTCAAAAGCAAAACATTGTTTGCTGGCTTTTATCAGAACTCAAATTTCAATTATTTAATTTTCTTGACACACATCTTTTGTGGTTCTCTTTCYTTATATATTTTCTTGAAAAGGTCATCATGATGACACAGAAACATTCTGGGTTTTCTTTCCTTATCTTTGTTAGACTAAGCTGATGTATGCAGCAGTCCTTATTCCCTATATTTACACCCGATTATTTATTAATAAGCAAAAGTGCTTAAAAAAGTGCACAAAGATTTTGGCGATTGGTGAAATTATCCATTTCTAGCTCTTTTAAGAGTAATAGACAATTTATTACAAAGTGCGACTCTATGTTGGTTTCTTTCAGAAGGGAAGCTCTCMGACATTTCTAGCTTTATGGTGCTATCCAGCTGCTATATAGAGAATTCTTAGAAATAAAAGTTCTTTTTCCCATAGGATCTGAATTGAGTGGTAATGTAAATGGCAACACGTTGGCCGATAAGGTCTATTCATTCTGTGCGACTGTTTGAATTATTGTTATTATATATAAATACACATACCACTTTGATGTAAAAGTAGGTTCCTGTCCATTTTTTGGATRACAAATCAACAATTAGATTGATGACAAGATATACAAACACAACAGCGATAGCTGCACTGAATGCATACACTTCAAACTCTCTCTCGCGAAGGGTTCCATGAACTGCATAGAAGATGCAAAAGGCTAAAAAATATAAGCAATACAATTGATCAAATGATTGTTATAAAGGATGTATAAAAACACCTTCTATTATTATCCTATTATTTTTAATTTATGTGCAGGAAATTTATTGAATGATGATTCTAAATTTCCCCTCCTTAAAACAAATAGAGAAATTTAGTAATAGTCAAAGGATTTCTTTGTCTTCTAGATGTCACCCATTCCTTATGAACAAAGAAAATGTAGAAGACTAGATACCCCTTAGTAGGGAGTGTCCAGCATTCAAAGTGTTGTTTTCCTTATCCAGAACTAACTTTCATGTTTGATGTGTTTTCTGGGGCTGCACATGCCTATATTCACAAGATGGGCTATTATCTAACACAGACCTACGTGTACTTTTGTGGTGTTTAAATTTAACTTATTTCACAAGCCAATTTTCCTGCCTTATTCTAAAGTATTTAACAAAGTTCTTGAAAAAAAGAATAGAGACATGTCTTTTTCTGTTTAAGAAATATAAAACAGTCCACATGTCTCTGTCCTCTGATGTAAACACGGTGGGAGTTGAAAAACACAAGATAAGCAAGCTTACAAACACAAAAAACACAAACGTAGCAAGTGTTTCTCTTGCTTCTTGGGTGCTTTATGTCAGARGACAGAGACACAAGAGGCCATTTTATAGTTCTTTTATAAAGTTTTTGTTTTTGTTTTGTTTGTTACTTTGTTTTTGTTTTTTTTTTGAGCGAAAAACATATTTTTCCAGAAAGCTGTGTCTCTGTCCTCTGATATAAACTCAGTCATCAGCCAATCAGAGCGTGTGTTATATATCAAAAATTTGATAATCACTTATAAATGATTAATTTGTAATATTTCATGTTAATTGTTGTTTCATCCATTGTTGCATCATAAGAAGTGGGAGATGATATGTTGAATAGCCAAGAGAAAAAACACTTCTTTGACAGGGACAATGGTAGAATTTTACTATAACTATTCAAGTTTAATTAATAATGGAAATTGGAAAAATATGTAAGCTTTTTTGAGGTGAAAGAAGGGGCAAATTTTGGTCCGATATCTTTTGAATTAGAGAAGATGAGGTCACAAGTGACCTTTTAAGAAATATAAAACAGCGCATGTGTCTCTGTCCTCTGATATAAACACRGTGGGAGTTGAAAAACAATCTTAGCTTCTTGAGCGCTTTTCAACTCCCAATCATTTATGATCAGAGGACAGGGACACAAGCAGCCACTTTAGATTCTTTTATAAAATATTTCTCATTTTTCAACTTTGCCAGTAAGCCGTGTCTCTGTCCTCTGATAAACATGGTTGTCATTCAATCAGTGCATGCGTTATATATATATATATATATATATGTGAAAAATTTTATGATTCAAGATAAGGAATCAAAACTTTTATTTTTTGAATCTACAGGTAAAGGGATTGATTGGAGCTTGGCAACAAAAATATAATATTTGATCATTATGTTAAACATACCTGCATTTATAAGAACTATTATGGCAAAAGTAAAGTCTGGTGAGCTGGTCTTTACATAATTCATAGCTAAAATGGTGAAAATTATAGCCAGAGTGATATTGACACAGGAAATCCCTATGAAAATCCATTCATCTCTGTCAAGGCCTACAAATGTTTTAGTCTGCAGAAAAAATCTCTGATTAGCATGAACCTACCACAAATCAAAACTACGTAGTTYATTAACACCAATTTATAGCTCTGAAAAACTCAGATTGATTAAGGAAAAACAAATATTTTGTCTTAAAAATGGAAGTAAAAAAAGCAACTACCGTATTTACCCACGTATAAGCCGCTCTCCTAGATAAGCCGCACCCCGAGTTTTAGGAACGTTTTTGAGGAAAAAAAGACGGAAAATAAACTTTTCTCTTTTTGATCTCCACTTGCGAACACATCTTTCTTTGATTTTAAAAGTGCTATTCCACTGCTTGATTTCCATGATCCATTAAACGTGTGGTGTATGATGATCTTGGAGACATAATTGTTAAGATTGATAATTGATACTATATTCAAAGACTTGTTTTCCATTCAAAAGGCAAAAGCAAACTAGTAATTAACTTGAGTGATATAAATCCAATGTAAATCTCATCGTGCTGCCAAACTTCTAAGCATAAGGATATGCCGAAACCGTTTCGTATTTCAAAAAAAAAATATTAAAACAGATTGTATTTGTTTAAAATAAGGAACAATTTCTTAGGCTTATTCTTGGGTATTCAAAATATTTACCCTGAATTCTTCACTTTAAGTTTGACAAAGTTGCTTAAATGAACAATGCAAATTAGCATCGCGTTACCAAAACAACTCCAAGACAAAACGATTGAAAATGCTCTCTGTTCATTTAGCTCAATAACCACGCACTTTTCAGTTTGATTTATTGACTTGTGTTTCTCAGAGCTAGATTTGCGGAGAATTTATAGTAATACTGAGAAGTTTGGATTAAAATTTCTCTGTTCCTGCCGYGTAAAACAAACTTATCACTGATGTCCTGTCTGCAGTAAGTAGCACCGTAAATGCTAATTTATGCAAATTAGTTTTTATCGGGCATTTTTTCAAGTCTTCTCGTAGATAAGCCGCAACCCCAATTTGGGAACGATTTTTTGGGAAAAAAGTGCGGCTTATACATGGGTAAATACGGTACAACTGTACAGGGAGAGACCTCCAAACACACTTTGCTTTGGCATATATACGGCGCAACAGTTTGTGTTATTTTATCCCGTCATTCATGGTGGGGGGGGGGGGGGGGGTGAATAGGGGTCTCCGAATCCGCCAATCCGCTCACTTTTTTTCTAAAATCCGCCGATCCGTGCAAAGTTTTGCTTTAATCCGAATCCCAATTCATGATAGCAATCGATAGTAAGAAAATCATAAATTCTTACTAATTCAAGAGCTGCTGAAGCCATATWTGCCATAATAAGCTCAGAGAAGACCTTTCCACACAAYGCAGAGCCTGTAGTCTCCTTTTGCCCGTTTATAAGGCCTTCTTRGTGACTTCTTATGTTATTTTTTTGTAGTCAACAATCGGCAACATTCACGGTCACGATTATCGCCATAATTATAGAATCCAAAATCCGACGTTAAATTTTCTATAAATCTGTGATCAGGTATGTTTTAAGAATCCGGCAATTYSCTCTATTTTTTCTTTTAATTATATAGCCACATATTAATCCCAAATAGGTAAAAGCTGGATTTTTCGTTAATTTTGGAATCCTGTCCAATTAAGAAATTAATTGGACAGGTTTTCAATTGGGTTTTTGTTAAAAGCTGTGGTTGGCTTTTACCTATTTGGGATCAATATGTGGCTATATAATTAATAGGTAATAAGACTCCATGCTGTCCAATTAAGAAATAATTGGACGAGGAAAATTCCGAGGACTGCCAAAAATTGGACGAGGCCGTGGCCGAGTCCAATTTGGCAGTCAGAGGAATTTTTCGAGTCTAATTATTTCTTAATTGGACAGCATGGAGTCTTATTACCTATTAATTATATAGCCACATATTGATCCCAAATAGGTAAAAGCCAACCACAGCTTTTAACAAAAACCCAATTGAAAACCTGTCCAATTAATTTCTTAATTGGACAGGATTCCAAAATTAACGAAAAATCCAGCTTTTACCTATTTGGGATTAATATGTGGCTATATAATTA